TAACAATTCTCAGATACTAAATGCACACCAGCAGCTCTCTGACAATGTACTCTGATCGACTCTGTTTATAAGACTCAGTTACCACCTGGGCTGACATCATGAGTGATGTCACCGTTATTGTTGCTGAACCGAAAGACCGTGGTCCTCAAGTAATCCCTGCTCAAAGCGTCAAAAATACCTTCTCAGGCTCGTTGACACGGTGCTGGTTTATGTGCTGAATGTTAAACCAGAGCTGAGCTCCAGCTTTGAAGCCGTTGTTAAAAACCTGTGAGGCTTTAATACCTGCAGTCACACGGGGACAATGAATAGTATGATTCATACCTCATAAAAGACGACACCTGTGAGCACATAGCATACTAACCCTGTGATGAGGAAAAAAATGGGCCATGGAAACATTTCCCAGCTCCTGAATCTAATTGAATCTGTCATAACTGTTCTAATGACAGACATACATAACCCCAGAGTTCCCTGCAGGCCAGGGCTTGGCACTAAGAGTGTTGCAGACAACATGCCCTACAGGTGTAGGAAGATGATGTATATAGACTCAGGTTACAGCAGATTGGCCTGGGACAGGCTGATGGAGGCTCTGATTGATCCTGAAAACAGAGAAGCCTGTGGGAGAATTGTCTCTGAACCTGGAAGAGAAGTTTAAAAGTCTAAGAACTATCAGGGTACGGTGAAGGTTGACATCCTAGAAGTCAAAATTACACTGGATGTGCAGAAACACCACAGCTGATAATCTGGGTTAATGGAGGCCCTCTTTTATGTGTCTCAGATTGTTTCAAGCAAATCAAAGAAAGTATCAAATGCAGTATTTAGGTGTGACGCAATTAAACATTCGGAAGGAAATACATCTCGGCTGGTTCAATAAGCAGCAAAATACACCCGGTTTAACAAACGCTTTGTTAGTTATACCTGTTAGGCTGCTTGTTAATGCAAATATCTAATCAATTACATGAGATGAGATGAGATGAGATAGCCTTTATTTGTCAGTTGCAGGTCTTTTGCCCACAACCGAGATGACAGACCTTGCCGACCGTACATACAATACAAACATCACATTGGGGAGACAGGTCAGGCTAGGTAGCGAGGAAAAAACATTGAAATGTGTAACACAAAAAGATAATACAGGAATGCACAGGTATCAACACACCATAACACAATAAACACAGACAAGCAACATGGGAAAGAGTTCCAGTGTGTACATCTCATCTGGGACCGCTGCAATCTTTCGACTGCGCCTCCAGCTGACCCGATGTCCACATCATGGGGGAGGTAAGCGTTGGAGGTGGCGTTGGATAGGGAGGGTGATGCGTCAGTGAGTGCTTATCAGTATCAGTATATGTATGTGTGTGCGTGTCCATAGTTGAGCTGAGACAGTGTCCTTCGCCCCGCCAGGCTAAGTAAACAATCTTCCAGCCAACCCAGGTGGCCTTGTAGGGAATGGGAAGGAACAGTTGTTCGGCTCCAGCCTTGAGCCCAAAGCTGGCGCCGAAGGGGTAGCCGCATTATGATGGTAATTTTTCTTTTGCAAACAACTCATGAGAATTCCAAGCTGTTTTTAACACTCCGACACTGGTCTCTCAATCTCCCGTTAATAGCTGCGAGTTTGTCCGTGACGTTATTAGCCGTCGATTCTGTGGTCTTGTCACTCTTTTTTGCTCACATAGCAGATTGTGAGACCTCACAACCGCAGCCAACTGATCCGAGATGTTGCTTCCGCCCAGAGATGTTGTTCTGAGTTGATGGTGACAGCACCTTGGTGCGTTTAGGGTTGTAGACATGGACAAGAAAGCTGCTGAAGTTCAAACTGAGCATGAAAATGGAGAAGAAAAGTGACTTTTAGTGACTTTGACTGCGACGTGGTTGCCAAAGTATTTCAAAAACTGCTGATCTACTGGGATTTCCCCCATAACCATCTCTACGGTTTACAGAGAAAGACCCGAAAAAGAGAAAATATCCAGTGAGCGTCAGTGCTCTGGGTAAAAACTTGTTACTTTGTTAATGCCAGAGGTCAGAGAAGAATGAAGGCAACAGCAAATCAAATAACCACTTGTTACAACAAAGGTATGCAAAAGAGCGTCTCTGAACACCCAAAGCGGATTCATCCTGTCTTGTACTAATAGTTCAGGTTGTGACATGACAGTGAGTTCAAATGCTCAAATGGCCTCCACAGTCAGCTGATCTCAGTCCAATAGAGCCTCTTTAGGATGTGCTGAGAAAGGAGATCCTCATCATAGATGTGCAGCCAACAAATCTGCAGCAGCTGTGTGATGCTAACATGTCAATATGGGCCAAAATCTCTGAGGATGTTTCCTGCACCTTGTTGAGTCTGTGCCGTGAAGAATTAAAGCACTTATAAAGGCAAAAGCAGGTAGCTACAGTATGTACTGAACTGGCTGGTAAGTGTAGCCATGTTCCTAAATTAAGAACAGCTGGGTAGTGAAACCTGTATTTCAAACTCCCGCAGTGACAAATCTGATGTTACTTTCAGCTGCTCCCTTACTCACACGGGGCGCCACAGTGGGTAGCTCCACATGTTTGATTTGGCAGATGTACTTTTTTTTTTTAAACTCCGGATGCTTTTCCTGATGCAACCCCAAAGGGATTTGTCTCTTCTCCTGGGATTGTAGAAGGACTTTTCACTCATTGGGTAAATGTGTAAACTGCTACACTATGGAACTGATCCCGTGCTAATCAAACAGGTTTTTTTCAAACTGAATTCTTCTGAGGACAACAAACATTTTCAACCCATAAGCTTCTCTAAATTGTAATAATTCCTTAGATATATTAAAACTTTAATACTTAAATGAACCATACGTTTTTTTGGTTTTTTTTTGTAAAACTCATGTTCTTTCATACAATTTACATCTACACTATAATGTAAGGAATGCTTTCTTAACGTTACCTGTACCTTACTGTTATTATTGTAATTTTAGATTTTACTATATAACCCACAGGGAACAAAAGCAATGCCACTAATTATTGTGGGGGGAAAAAATCAACTTTTATATCAACATTTTGAAGTAATTGTTTTTAAGTATTTTGAGTGTGTTTCAAACATCTGGTGTACAAGATTACAAAGAGACACTTTTTCAGCATTAACATAAAAACATATATGTGATTATACATAGATCACATCTGCGCTGAGAATACTACTTGAACTCTAATGCATTTATAAAAAGATGAATACTGATATGAACTGTCATTACCAATGACAAGTATTTTTTTTAATGGAGGACTTGTTTTTATTATGAAATTTCTTATTTACTGTTTTCTTATTTACTGTTTTCTGAAAAATATGAAGTTTCTCAAAAAGGAGAATACAAGATGCTGTTTTCAAGTTTCTGCAATCCTTTTATTTTTTACAGCAAATGATTAAAAAAGAATAATAAATTACAAAAATATAATGATCTAATGCTCATTTTAGTTTCGTTTTTTTTTTTAACATCATTACACCTTTCATTTTAATACTATAAATTACTTCATAGTCTGGTGAAAGACAGTGACACTGTGTGATGAATATGTTTTTTATATCATGGCTAAAATACAGTAAAATAAATTATAGTTGTCCTGATTTTGCTCAAACGGTGTCACGAAACTGTGTGTTGTACTTCGGCTCTTCTAAAATGCTGGGCAAGGCAACAAGAATTGATCAGAAATACAGTCTCGGTGGCACAGCACTGCCATCTGCTGATGCGCAAAGATTTTAAAAAAGATTGAAGCACCTTCTCTTCACGAGTCTTTATCTCATCTGCCTCAGTTAAGTCTCTTTTCCCGCTAATGGTCTTGTCTGTCTACTGTAAAGCTCATCGTAACAATGTCCTCGATCCCAGCCTGCAGCTCATCGTGCTCCTGCACGGCGGAGACTCCTTTAGGGGTCCCGGTCAGGATGAGATCCCCTTCCTCCAAGGTGATGAAGTCGCTGATGTAGCTGATGAGATATGGGACGGAGAAGATCATCTGAGAGGTGCAGCCGCTCTGTCGAAGCTGATCATTTACTTTCAGCCACAGGCTGACCTTCGCCGGGTCAGGGATGCGCTCTTTGGGGATGAACTCGCTGACAGGACAGGAGGTGTTGAAAGCCTTGGCCATGGTCCAGGGCAGACCTTTGGACTTGCACTCGTCCTGGATGTCTCGGGCTGTCATGTCCAAGCACAGAGCATAACCCGCAACATGCTCCATAGCGGCGGACTGCGGGATGGCCGTGCCCCCTTTCCCGATCACCACCCCCAGCTCCACTTCATGGTGCAGATTAGTGGTGTAAAGGGGCACCAAGATAGGCGAGCCCTCTCTCACATATGCAGTAGGAGGCTTCAGGAACAAGACAGGCTCCTTAGGAATCGCGTTTTTCAGCTCTTTGGCGTGATCCGCATAGTTTCTCCCAACGCAAATGATCTTCCTCCCCCATTCCCAGAACCGGGAAATATTCCGTGCTGTCATCGTGGAGAACCGTGAGCTGTTTCGACTGCCTTGATGCAGTCAGCACGAGTGTAACTAAACTTTGACCGACACTGTTTGACCGCTCCGGAACATCAACCTACGGCAAGCCTGAAGGGACATGCGCAGAGCACAAACGTCGAATCAATGCTATCTTATTTGAGATAATTACTGGGACTAAAAAGTAAAACAAAACCACTTACTAACTTTATTAAACTACTCTTGTGCAGAATTACGTAAACAAGTTAGACAGTCACGTGTAACTTGTTTACGTAAATAAATACGTAGATAGATCATTCCCGATCTATATACCCGAGACTTGATTGGCGGAGCCTTGGAGGGCAAAGGTCAAAGGGAGCGGAGGCGGAACTGAACCAAAACCAAACTTTTCTGGTTTGCACAAACGTGATAAGACTTTAGCTACTGTTGTTATGTTATTCAAGTCACTAGTAGGGAGTGCCTGCACTCTATTAGGAGCTGCGACAGCCTTAAAATTCGGTACGTCCACACGGTTTTCTCTCATTTTCAGCCCGCGAAGGTTTAGCGTAGTTTTCGCTTGCTTCGCTGCCGTTAGGTGGTAGATGGCGTTTGTTCGTTTGTTTATGTTTTGTCGTCTTAAGATGGGGGGAGCTGTCACATGAGCACAGCCGGCCTGTCTGAGCGCATACCTGTTTCCTCTTATATAACCTCCTCTATGACAGTCATATCGGTGTAATTAATTAGCGTGCCCACAAAAAATCCAACACCGAAGCGTGTTAACGTGTGGCGTTCACTTGTCCAGCGGGGCGGTGAGGTGTGTTAAGTTTCTCGCGTTTGTGGCATTAAACGAATGTAAGGCAAGGAGTATGTGAATATATTACAGAGGTACAGGGGACTAGAAGTTAAACTGTCCCGATTTCTGTCTGATGTGGCTCGGTGTTAAATATCGGCTTTTATCCCCTCATGAAGCTCCGGTGGAAGTCAAGGCCCAGGCAGCCGCCCTCCTTCACAGTGTGGTCAGGAAATCTAATCTGGTGGAGCAAGCAAACATGAAGATTGAACTGCTCCCTGCGCTGTCTGACAACTACATGTACCTACTGATCGATGTGGACTCCAGAGAAGCAGCTGTTGTAGACCCCGTGGAGCCAATAAAGGTCTGTTCAGTCACTGTATCATATCAAGTAATGTTATATAAACCAGTTGACAACACTTTAACACCAATGCAGAAAGTCTACCTACAAGTGATTGTGTTAACCTTTACACACTATTCAAGTCAAAATTGTGTCCTTTTACAAATATTTGATAGCAACATAGTTTTCTTTTTGTTTTGTGTTTTATTTATTGTTTTATTTTGAGCCTGAAAGTATTATTATTATTATTATTGTTGTTATTACTATTATCATTATTATTATAATTATTACATGATATGGTATCTGAGGAAGTGTCTAGTTACAGGACAGTTTGCAGTTCGTTCAAGGTGCAATTGTACCTGCTGCCAGTTCACCTGAGGTTAGTGTGTGTGTGAGGAATAACCAAGTTAAATTAAGTATTTACTACACAGAGTACTGTAGTAGTTGCTTCATTTAAATGAGAGAAAGTGTGTGAAATAGTTTAGACACTTTTTTTGTTTAGTTTTTGTGTTTCTGACTGACTTTATGACTATACCTAAAATGATCCAAAATCTTATACTGTTGTACAGGTGCTACAATCTTTTGTAAACTGAGGCTGTTTGTGATGAAATGTGATTTTTAGATCTACCAGTGTGGGTCAAATAAAAAAAAAAGTGGTTTTAAGGAATCTTGTGTGCAAGTCATGCCTATGTGGGTTTTTTCCTTCTTTACTTTTTATTGGACAGACGTGACAGACGTCAAGGGGGACCTTGACACTGTCACGTAGACTGTCTGCGTCCTCACTATATTTGCCCAGGTTCCCACAGAGACCGGTACCAGCTGGTCTGTGAGATGGAGTGATCTCCAAACAGTGCACGAGAGGTTACATAGATGTCAGTGAGTGCTTTTAGGGATGGTGCCTTGACACAGACATGAGATTTGAAATGACTCAGCATGATGGTGCAATGGTTAGAAGTATTAGAATTGTTGCCTTTCAGCAAGATTATAAAGATACCTGAACTGGCATTTAGGTGAGTGTGGGAAACACTTGCGCAAGTTCCACACATGCAAGGTGTCCTACCACTGCCCTAAATAAACACATTAGTTTGCAATGAACAAGTTATTGAATTATTATAGATATTGTTATAGGCTGCAGTTACAAACAGTTTTTTTTATGACATATCAAGGGGCAAAAATCAAATTCAAATGCAAATTTTATTTGTCACACACACACAACCATACACAGTATGACATGGGGGTGAAATGCTTGTAGCTGTACAATGCCCGACCATTAAATGACAGAAGAAAAGTTTTACAATATTTACAATTTACTACAAAAATTTACAAATTAACTTAGGAATTTACAGTAAAGAATGTGCAAATAGCAGAAGAGATTATAAAGATAAGGATTATAAATTATAGGAATTATAGGATTATAGGAAATGTGTGGTGGTGCGTGTGGTGACGTGTTTGAGAGTCCAGTCTTATAGTGACGTGTTTGGGAGAGTCCAGTCCTACACCTGGTTCAGGCCCCGAATAGCCTGGGGGAAGAAGCTCCTCTTCATTCTCTCTGTTTTGGCCTTAAGGGAGCGGAAGCGCTTCCCAGACCTCAACAGTGAGAAGAGTCCATTGTTGGGATGGGAGAGGTCCATCATAATCTTCCTAGCTTTGGACTTGCACCGCTTGGTGTAGATGGACAGCAGGTCAGGGAGCTCTGATTGAATGATGCGTTCTGCCGAGCGCACCACCCTTTGCAGATCTCGTCTGTCCTGCTTGGTGCTGTTCCCAAACCAGGTGCAGATGTTTGACGTCAGGACGCTCTCGATGGTGCAGGAGTAGAAGTTCTTGAGCACCTTCAGTGGCAGATGGAAGTCTCTAAGTCTTCTGAGGAAGAAGAGACGCTGACGGGCAGTGTTTAACAGTTGTAATAGTTTTGCATTGTTATATAATAAATCCCAAAAGTTGAGGTCATTAACATTTTCACTTTGAGTAGAATATAATTAAATCATAATTTCTCTCCTGCTTTCAAGTATTAGATTTTTTTTTTCCACTAAAAATGAATCTTGTAAATCTCAAAAATACACTATCTGGTCTCTGAAACATTAATTAAGCATTAATCATCCAATTTTTTTAGATATGCTATTTATGCATATTCTATTTATATAATCTGTAGTTCAAAATGTTGTGTAAACATTTATACCAGTTTTTTAGCATGGGTCAAAACTGACCCCAACCATATTCTGAAGGCTTGAAATGCGAACAGTTTATAAGGGTTAAAATAGTCATTCATCAATGAGAATACATATAGTGTTCAGCATCATAACTCTGAGAGAATCCACTCTGCGTTTTGCTGGTGATATTGTGGACTTAAGAAAAATATATTGTTGTTGTTGTTATTATTATTATTATTATTATTATTGTTGTTGTTGTTGTTGTTGGGTGTAGGTCAAAACATAACCCTAGACTATTGAAAACACTACGTAATTCTATCCAAGCGTGATAGATTTCTTCTTATTTATGTATTTATTTATTTATTCTACTATTTTTATTTCATTATTTTTGTATGGGAGGTGCCTACTTTCAGGACAGTTTGCAGAAAGGTGCAGAGTACCTTATATCAGTTTGAGGTTAGTGTGTATGTGAGGTTAAGTATGTACTGGATAGAATACTGTAACTGTTGCAGGAAAATGCATCCAATCTTTTTATTCAGAGAATACTGAGAATGAAATTTGATATGATGTGCATTTTTATCTGCCCGACCTTCCTTTGGGCATTATAATGATATGTAGTGAAGGACAGACACGACTTTCCAACTACGCACTAGTCCTTAGTTTGGAAGAAGACCAATCTCCTTTCAACTATATACAGAATCTGCGTAGTTTGAAAGTCTACTATCAAGTCAAAGGTATTTATAATATTAGAAAATATCAAGTATTTGGTCATTGCTACATTTAAAACTAGCGTGTGAGTAAGAAATACCAATTTGATGTTTTCAGCAAGTTTTCAGCAAGTCCAAAATCCAAGAACCCTGACTGGCCCTAATAAATTAGTAGTAGGGCCCAAATCTGTGAATTCTCCATAGAAAAAGCTGTAACTAACAGCTTTTTCTCTCCTATTCTTCATTAAGACCTTTAATAACTAATTGTTGTTGGATACTTATTGATAAATTAAGTAGTTATATTGGCATGGCTCCACTCAGCATTTTTTTTTTGTGTGTGTGCTTTGAACAGGTTGTTGAAGCTGTCCGAAAGCATGGTGTAAAACTCACCACAGTTCTAACCACCCATCACCACTGGTAAGCTGCTGCTTATTTTATAACATTGATGAATTTATTTATTTTTTCAAGATTATTTCTCCATAATAAGTAAGCTAAAAAAAATACTTATTGTACCTGTTAAGGCAAGAGATACATTTTATATTCATCACCATTACCATTAATATAACCACGTTCACATCCAGCGTGCTGTGTGAACAAAGTATTAGGTCCACTCTGATCATGGAAGGCTGTGACTGCAAAGTAACCTACCTACTGTACTGTACTCACTCAAATTTTGTAAAGTCTTTTTTAGGACAAGGTATGCTTATATATTTCTCCACCAGTTTCTCACGCAGGGCTGCAGTAGGAGTCAAGTGATTTTGTTTGCTTTGATTTACTTTCTTTTAATTTTCTCATGCTGATGTGCATCTTACTACCTGGTCACATGCTGCATTTAGCAGCAGCATTCTCCAGTCTAACAAAGTGCTTCTAGGAAAAGCTTGTGGCAGACATTGTGTTTAGCTTGATGCTGGCTGACAACACAGACCACAAACTACCTGCATCATTATACTAGCATTACTATAGTAATGGTGCAAATAGCCTGCAAGAGAAGGAATGATGGCCTAAAAGGTGTTGCTGTGCAAACATGATCCCAAAACATCAGATGCTGAAGTCAGAAGATGCTCCTACTACTTAAGACGTCATCACCCTACCCATTTCCTGTCATTATGTTTCCCAGAAATCGGCAAATTGTCTTGATTGTTTTGCTGTGAATACCATTTACTCGTATTAAACGCTACTGCCCACTAAATGCACGCTTTATAAATAAACATTTCCTTTGGCTTCTTATGCTAAGAACCTGCTAAACCTGTATTGGACAAAAGAGTAATACCAACACACTAATTTTCTGTTTTAGGGATCATGCCGGTGGAAATGAGAAGATGTTGAAACTAATGCCAGGTCTGAAGGTCTATGGAGGGGATGACAGAGTTGATGCCATTACAAAGAAAGTTTCTCATTCCAACACTTTCAAAGTGAGACGAGCAAACTCTCTGCTCTGTGGTCCAACTATAAGCTTCAAATGAACGATTGTTCACTTATGTTTTTCTCTCCTCAGGTTGGCTCACTCCATGTTAAATGCCTTTCTACTCCTTGTCACACAACTGGTCACATTTGTTACTACGTGACCAAAGAAAACAGCACTGAACCACCAGCTGTCTTTACAGGTGTGGTTACTTAAGTTAAACATTTATATGAGATAAACTGCGAGTGTAAATAAAGACATGTTTTGTGTGAACTTAAAGGCCCTAAGAACTCCTGTTTTTCCCATGCAGGGGATACTCTGTTTGTGGCTGGCTGTGGGAAATTTTTTGAGGGTACAGCAGAGCAGATGCACAAAGCCTTGATAGAAATTCTGGGGCGCCTTCCTCCTGAAACGGTAACTGCAAACATAGGCGTTAATTTTACAGATTTTTAGGATGGAAAAGGAAAGACTTAAATTCTTCAGTAGTTGATGAGTTAACTTTGCTGTATGTTTAAGGTGTGTGACTAACTTTAGCGTGTTTGTGTTTAAGCGTGTCTATTGTGGTCATGAGTACACCGTCAACAATCTGAAATTTGCACGTCATGTGGAACCGCACAATGAAGTAATTCAGAAGAAGTTGGCCTGGGCAAAGGTATGTGATTCATACAGTAACCACTTCAAATCAGTTATCCTTAATTAATTAAAACAACTTTGCAATTTTTGTGTATTTATCTGTCTGTAGGAGAAGTGCAGCAACGGAGAACCAACTATTCCGTCCACTCTGGCAGATGAATTCACATTTAACCCCTTTATGAGAGTAAAGTATGTATAACTTCATTAAAAACAGCCTTGTGAAAAAGAGTTTTCACAGGACTTAATGTAGTCTTGTAAAAAACTAAGTACAGCAATACTACTTCTATAGGAATTTAGAGAATAAGCAGTAGCCAGATGCTGCTAATGAATTGGACTTGATTAACTGATGATCAGCGAGTGTGAACTTGTAGAAAAGCTGACATTTGGGCAGTTTGCTGGTCTGGTGCATTTAGGGGTATGTTAATATAACTAAGGTAATACAAGTCTTCCCAGGAGTAGATGTCCCGGCACAATCATCTAACAGTCAGACTGTAATGCTCAAAGAAAGTGGAAAAAAAGAGAGCTCAATCTTAAACTTGACAGGCATAATTTAGCATGTTAAATGTAAAAGTTTGTGACATTACAATTAGAAAAATACTGAACAAGTAGGGCTGGTTTGGAAGGGTTGACAGGAGAAAGCCTCTTCTCTCTAAAAAGAACATGGCAGCATGACTTAAACTTTGTAAAGTTGGATCAAACCACAATTGCCTTTGGACAGACGACACAGGAGTGGAGATGTTTGGCCATAATGTACAGCGCTAACACAGCATATTTGAGGTGTTATTGGGGTGATGAATTGGGCTTGTTTTGATCCACACGACCTTAGACATGTTGTCCAAAAGAATTTTAGAATCAAATGTGAGGTTATCTGTCCAGAACTTAAACCTTGGCCCAAATTCGATCATGCAACAGGATGAGCACAGGAGCAAATCTATACCAGCATTGCTGAAACCAAAAAGAGTGGAGGTATTGCAATGGCCCAGACAAAGTCCAGACCTTAATCCTGATTAAAATGCTGTTGTGGGACCTTAAGAGTGCTGTGCAAAAACAAATGCCCACAACTATCAATGAACTGAAGCAACGTCATGTAGAGGAGAGTATGTCGAAATTCCTCTGCAATGATGTGAGAGACTGCGAGTCATACAGGAAATCATTACTTATTGCTGCTAGAGCTGGTCTACAAGCTACTGAACCTGGGGTGCACTTACTTAGTACAGGGCCCTGTGAAATTTCTCTTTTTCACATCACTGTAGTAGTAATTACAGATGATTATAATTTGTTTTGAGGTACCTACAGTGAGAGTGCTGCCTGACTACATTTGTTTCCCCCCCCCCCCAATGTGTAATTTAGAGAGCCGTCCGTTCAAGAGCATGTGAAGCAGACAGACCCTATCGAGACCATGAGAAGTCTTCGGAAGGAAAAAGATAATTTCCGAGTGCCCAAGGAGTGAAAGTGCACCAGAGTTGGCATTTCAACTGATTACAACACTGCAAGCTGTCAATTATATACTCAAAGAAATACCTGCAACTAATCTGTAAACCGACTGGAAAAACAGCACATCCATTGCATTGACTTTAACTCAAGGTCCATTTTTTTCTATCACAGTGTTCAGCATAACATATTAGACTATAAATCTATAAATAAATCATTCTTTTAGATATATTTGAGTTTTTTGGGTTGGCAGTTTTAAGGAATAAATGGCCATTATTTGAATGTTTTAAAATGAGAAAAATGTAGTTATTCTGTAAATGTATCAGAAAAGTTATTTAGTCTTATGCTTTAATATATTGATGTTCAAACTACTGTTTCACTCAGCGTTTAAACATTTAACAAGACAAGGACCACATGAGTAACAAATGTTGGCGTATGTGGACACTTTCTGTGAGTTGGTTTAATAATAGGTAATCATTTCTTCGCCTACAAAACTTTGTATCAATGTTTCTTCATGTCATTTATTTTCACGCTTGCTTAAAAGATGCTAGTTTGGTTGTTTATGTGCAAAATACAGCATAGCTGCCTTTACATATAAGTAATCAAAGTGATCTGTGAGCTCAGCCTTGTCTACCTCTTGTGTCAGCATTGTTAGAAACCCCAAATCATATTTTGCTCGTAAAGTAAAATCTTTCAAGGACTATTGCATGAAGCAATTTGGAAAAAGCAATAAAGCACATTTGTTTTAGTAGCTTCACACAAAGGTTTGTGTCAATAAATTGTGTCATAAGCAAAATATATTCCTGATGCAGAATAAGGCCATTAAAACTGTTATATTCTCATATACATCTCATATTATTGGATTATTACAGTAGTAGAAGTTTGCCTTTGGCGAACGCTTTCATCGGTGTTATCTAAATTTTCCAGTTACATTTTGGGAGATGCTTTGGGTTATAATTGCTGAATCTTGTCTATTAGCAAACCATGGAATTAAGCTTCTCTCATGTCTAAATATGATGAAAGTATTAAGAAGCAGGTCCGGTAGCATTTTTTAAAAATAATTATTATTTTGTTTCATTTAGTAGGTGATTGATGTGGACACATTATTATTATTAGGACTGTGTGCACACAGGACAGGACAGGACCAGTGCATATGAAGTAATCTACCAGGGGCACCCCCACACCTTCTACAGGTTGGGTCTGCCTCTGGCACCAACTTAGCCCTTAAATTCAATCTTAAGTTGAATGAGTGTGTGTCGAGCACACACTGATATAATGTGAACTTGGCCAAGGACAGAGTCCCACAGTTCTTTTGTCAAATGAGAGTTAAGGTCCTGTTCCCATTTAGATTTGATGGCAGCTACTGAAGAACATTTTAAATTGGAAATTGAATTGTACAAGGCTGATATTATGCCCCTAGAGGCTGGATTGACTATTAAAAAGCCATACTTTATCCATTGTTTAGTAATTTGAACTATATAAATGCACCACATTCATGTTTGCTTCTATATAAAAACTCTTTGCAAAATAATGATTAGCCATCCTAAAAGGTGTCAGATAATGTCTGAAAATGCCTATTCATGCTTTACTAATAGTTAATTACTATTATAAAATAATTATAGTCTTTAACAATGTAAAAATGTGAATAATTATTTGAAATTTTAGATGTTAATAATTTAACTGGTTTTTATTTTTAACCAAGGCTTGTACATTTCCAGGGGCAGAGAAGCATGAATCAAGAAAAAACACATTGATAAATAAGCCCCTACGACACACACACGTATATATTTGTAACAAATTTAAAGGCGTTTGACTGTTTCCAGCTCGATTAAAAGGTCTTAGTTTTGACCCTTTGATTCCACGATGTCGCGATAACTTCTTCGTCTGACAGAAATGTGAGTTAATAATTTGAAGAGGATGGGCACAGTCCAGCTGCAATAAACGACCTGATCGGATACACTTAAAGAGAGGTAGCTCTTCTCTGATTTTCTTAAAACTATTTTTAGATTTTAGAGTCATGTGACATCATCAGGAAGTACTCGGCTATATGACACTGTAGTTTACGGGCTGGCGCAGCTTACACCGGCCAGCATGCTTATATCGACTATCTGTTTATGCTTAACGAAGTATTTAACATCTCGTGCAGAAGACAGGTGCGTTCAAGTAAATGATTCATACGTTGACTAATCAAACCTCTTCTTGAAGCGTCGCTCACTGTGGTGCGCATGCGTGTGCGGGTACCATGAAGGTAAAGGTGATCTCCATCCTGGAAGACAACTACATGTACCTGGTGATAGAGGAGCAGAGCAAACAGGCGATAGCTGTGGACCCGGCTGTGCCACACCGGGTGAGAGACATTGTTGTGCCTGTGATTTAAAAATGGCGTCATACTTCAGAAAAGACTTAAACTTATTTTGTTGATCATCTATGCATCTAACAAAACAAGGAAACAGTTTAAAAAACGATTCAGTGAAAAATCGAAGACTGGTTTGTTAAAAATAAGGAAATTTTAAAAAGCAATAAGCAATATTCATAGATACTGTAGAGAAAGTGCACTACAGATACCATACTTGCTTTGAGAGTGTTTATGGAGAGGTCAGATGTATACAGAGGTCAAAAGGAATTGCACTGTCTCCAGAGAAGGCATGATAGGGTGCAAAGAGACACACTCTGGAAGTCAGTATGAGGAAGTGAGGAGTGACAGAGAAGTAGGGTGATGCAGGACCTGTATGAGGACAGCGAGATGGTGGTGAGGTGTGTTTGCTATGATGACGGTCAGGCAGGAGTCTCTGTGGGGACTATCATGTTTGCAGCAGACACTGTGATTTGTTGTGAGAGTGAAGCAAAGCAGAATACATGTGTGTGAATGAGAGGGCGACAGGTGTGAGTCTGCAAGGGGCAAAAGAAGGGAAGGTGGATCCGTTTAAATATGAGCCAACAAAAGAAGAAGAATTTTAGGGCTGCAATAAATGTTTGCTTTCCTCATCATTTAATGCACCTTGTACATTCTCCTACTATTACACTTTTTTGAAGCTAAAACAATCATAGGACAAAGAAGCTGCACCTGAGGACTGTTTGGCTGTTTTGCTTTAAAAGTGACTGGATGATTTTTTCCCCCCCCCCACAGCTGCTAGAAATAGTGAAACGAGAAGGCGTCTCCTTGATAGCTGTTCTCACCACACACCATCACTGGTAAGAGGAGCGTTTCGTGTCAGGTAACAACACTGCAAAGCATCTCAGTCAAATTGAGGCTAATGGAGTAATTTGGTGCCTCTGCTTACTAGGGACCACGCTCGTGGGAATGAGGCTCTGGTGAAGGAGGTCCCTGGCCTGAGGGTGTACGGGGGAGACGATCGAATCGGGGGTCTGACGGATAAAGTGACAAATGCGCAGGAACTGAAGGTGTCCACAAAGCGCCTACAGGAGCTCGATGAAGATGCCGTTTAGCTGCGTTTTGAAATTTTACAAACCTGTTGTCTTTTTGAATTCTGATTTTTTTTTTTTTTTTGCCTCGTTGTCCTTTTCTTCATCTGCAGTTTAGCTCCATCAATGTGAGGTGCCTGTTTACTCCCTGCCATACCTCTGGTCACATGTGCTACTTTGTTTGGGAGGATGAGTGCACTGACGCCCCTGCTGTGTTCACAGGTCTTTTTCTGTACACATAAAGAATCAGTGCACCGGTTGAAATCCAAGACACTAGTAGATTTCGCCATACCGCTTCTGACTGTACAGTAAAGGCAAAAAAATGACTCACTTCATGTTGCAACTGTTGTGTCTTCAGGCAAATAATCTTAATAACTGATTTCTGAGTGGCTAGAGATATGAATACTATAAGTTGTCCATGTTGTGTGCGATGACAAAAACTGACCACTGCCTCCTGTGACATCCCCTTGTCCTTTCTTTGGGTTGCTAGGGGATACGTTGTTTATTGGTGGATGTGGACGGTTCCTTGAGGGTACAGCAGAGCAGATGTACCACAACCTCACCCAGGTGCTTGGTTCCCTACCTCAAGACACGGTTAGTGGAAATAAGAAATGCTAACTGTTTGCGTATGCGTGTTTGTACGACCTCTACAGGGTTAACAACAGCTAGCATGACCTCAGATAAGTCTAAATCACTATAGTGAATCATCACTCCACAACAATCAGTGAATTGAGGGCAGGACTGGCTCTCTTTTCACCCTTCATAGTACAAACTGTCTTAAAAATGGCACAAAGCCCAGAATGAGTAAAGATACTGAAGCTGTGCTGTGAGCTAATCCCTACTTTAAATGAGGCTTTGTTCGTCTTTTAGAAGGTGTTTTGTGGGCACGAGTACACCATAAAGAACTTGAAGTTTGCCATGCTGGTGGAGCCAGAAAATGAAAAGGTTAAGGAGATGCTGAGCTGGGCCAGGGTGAGCATGATACAGGAAGCTGCTACAAGAATAAGGCTTGCAGTTTTCTCTGGTGTTAGCCTGTCTCCTGATACGCAAATATATACAGATTACATAGTAGGTGATCCACAACTATTTCCAGTGTGTTAAAGGCATTTCAGTTAGATCGTTGTTGTTGTTTTTAAATATCTTAGACAACAATGGTGGTCTGTTGCACAGATAAGTAATCTATTACAGGCTTTTGCTGCACAGAGAATAGTCCAAGCCTTAATCTTTAAATACATTTAAATATGTTTATACCAGGTTTTTTAAAGCGTTTGCTGTCTCTGCAGGCAAGAGATGATGATGACAAACCCACAGTGCCATCTACACTGATGGAAGAATTCGAATACAACCCTTTTCTTCGTGTCTCGTGAGTCTGGATGTTTATGTATGGCATATATAGAGTGATGGGTCAGGTGAAACACAATTACTTTAAAATCAAGTTAGTCACTATAAGCAACCTTTATTTCCTGTTCCAGAAACAAAAACTCCCTTTGTGGGAAACCCTTTGGGTCATTTCCAGCTCTATGCTTTACCAGCTTTGCATCATTCACAGTTTAAAATAACCCTTGTTTATGTTATAATGGCTCTTGGAACTGCCTCCTACTACTGTAACTAACTTTCTTCTGATTGGCTACCCCTCACAAACAGATTAGATACATTTTCTAGTCACGATTCATCTTTGTTTATATTTTGCTCAGAAAATGGGAAATGGGTGGAGGGATTCATTGAAACAGCTACAAACATATACATGGAAATAAAAGTATATAAGACAAAAACATATTCTGTATAATTCTAAGAAGCTTTAAAGTTAATATTTAATATGACCACCTTTATTCTTTAATACAGCCTGAACTCTCTTAGAGAAGCTTTCTCATCATTTCTTTAAGTAGTCTTCAGGAAAAGTCTTCCAGACTTCTTGAATTAGCTTCAAAGCTCTTTTTTTTTTTT